TGGCAGAGGCAGTGATCCTTCGGCTCTTGCTGATCGAAAACGTGCGGGCTCCGGAAACGAGATTCAGAATCGCCCCGAGGACAAATTAAATGTAAGCCCATGCTTGGACGTTAACGTCATACTCCAGTTTACACGCAAAATCATTCAAATTTCAAGCCATGTCTCGAGCACCTCCCAGTCGTAATACAGGTCCCTTTCCCGATTAAGAGGGACAATCTGATCAAGTCACATATTGTGCAATTACAGCCGGCTGATTGCAAGCTATTGTAGTGTACATTTGTAATAGCCCCCTCTTGGGTAAAGTTTGATATCGGGCACAAGCTACAACAACTCACTATTTTTCTCGATCTTCTTGCGATACTGCAGTTTCATCAGATGGTCAAGAAACGTAGTTGGTATATGTTTTTGATTAATTTGCAAAACATATTTTACGATGTTGAGGAACAGCGACTATTACATTACACGGCACGTGCACAGATCTTACGTATATGAAGTAGGTCCGCATTAGGACAAGGTCCTTAGATGCCTGTCGGTGGCTGTAAACACAACCCAAAAGATATAGGTATACGTGAAGTTCGTCAGCGTGATTAGTCCATGTTTTGCAGAATGCGCCCAAAATTGTCTCGCTTGTGTGTTGCCCTGTATTCTTATGCAAATGCAAAAAGTTGTCTGTGAGATGACCTGACCTGATTGGAGCTTAGCGTTGTTCATATTGCTTGTCAAACCAGGAAAACGCACTGTCAAACAAGTGAATGTTGTTTCATAACATTTCCTTAACAACGAAACAGTGCATGACTCATGGCGACATCGTCAGTCATCGACGCCGCGGCTTCAACTCCTGTTGGTGCCGCAGTCCTTTTCTTTTATCATCCGTTTTCCACTTATGAGGGCCTACTTCACAAGGTATAATATTTTATTAGCTATCAACCATTAGCATTGAAAATTGATTTTCCTACTCTCGTAAATAATGAATTGGTCATATAAAAGACTATAACGTCGTGTTCATACTAAGCGAACTTGGCAAATGAAATCA